TTCCGGTGAGTATCCTATGCTTTGTGTGCGTCACTAACCGCCCAGATTTGAAGCATCGCTCAAAGGAGCGTAGTATCGACATAGGATACAGGGAAACCAAGCAAGTTGTAAACATGTACCGAAAGGAAGCGATTCAACCATTGCGGACGTCCCAGGTGCAGAAGAGGGCCTAACGTTAAACTAAGGGGTTCCTAGTCAAAAGCCATCCGATGAACTGACGTACTGTTTAAACGGTGGCTCAATCAAGGAATGGGATATGGTACGAAGGCATGTGTCGAAACAGCCGGCTAAAGAGCTTTAATGAGCAGTAGTGAAATCCCTGATCCACACGGTAACGCGAATCGTTGTGCACGTTGCGCATCAAGCCTTCGATTGACAAGCCGATATTCCACAGTCTCGGTATACTGAGACCTTGAAAAGCTACATGAGCCTCATCATCAGTGTCGACTTTGCCACTTCGCTATAAGAGGTACATATAGATAGGACTGTAAACCGTTCCAACACGCAGTATTTGCTCGGCCCAGTTCCCCTACGGAACTATTCACTTTGAAGCACCAAAACATTAACAGACGTACACCGCTCCAGAACATCAGCTTGTATAGAGGCTGGACTTCATCTCAAGATAAATGCGGCAGATAACCTGTTGGCAAACATTGATGAACGTCGGTTACTAAGTAAATCCAGTAATCATCAGTAAAAGTATGTACACTTCTTTGACGTGCGAGAGGCTCTTAAGGTTATAGAGACATATCTGATGTTATAGTGTTTATGGTCCCAGATAGGCGACCTCCGGAGAACCGGAAGCATTTGCTACTCGACACCACCGGGCTGCAGAATGAAGAGTGCATTGCTGTACGCATAAACAAGAAAAGTTCAGAGTATAAGTGCCCGGTACTTCTGGAACTGATGAAAACGGAGAGTGCAAAATTGTTAACGCAGCATATGTCAGTTATAAGCAACAAGTGAAGTTACGAATATAGTTATAAGGTCCGATAAGACACCACTTGGACGGATCCATGCGCCTGTCCCAAAAAAACAGAGTAACGCATCCGACCCCTCATAAACTGATTTAGGTTATACATGTGATGAGGATATCCACAGGAATGTTCACTGCGCAGCTGACCTAGACGACTCGGCGGTTACGGTTGACTGCCTATCAACGCAACCGATCTTCAGTAGCAACCACTTCCATTCAGACATCTAGCACTTGGCCGGTGTCCGGGTGGTCTGCGCACCTGGTTTGCAATCATAAGGTCGCCGGTGGGCGTCCTCGTGGTATACTCAGCCCGCGCGCAACCGGTGGTGGTCGCGCGGCAGTGAAGCGCCGTTACGGCGTACAGCTGACACACTATATTTTCATTTATTATATCAACGGGATTAATGCTAACTCCGACATTATCCACAGATCTACAGAGATGTCTCACAAATTCTCAGCCAATCGTTGCCGCAGATGGCGCAAGCCTAGACAACATGAGCAACATCAGCGTCACAATGGATTCACTCTAGAAGCTGATGAATAGCAAGAAAATTCGTACCTCCGTTGACACGCGCTGCAGCTTTTCCAACACAAACAACGCCACTACAAGTTACGCGACCAAATTAAGGAAGTCGCCGCCTCAGAGCATAACCCATAGCGCCTAACATTCCTGATACTTTTCCAGCAGACGCAGCATTAAAAAGTCTTAATAAATACTCCAATTTGAATGAAGGATAATTGTCAGCAATCAAGGCGAGCCGAATATCCCCGCCGCGTAAAACTTTCGTTCTAATCCGTATGCTGTGAATTCCTTGCTTAAGCAATGCGTTCGATTTCGCCGACTGACGCCGTATAAGAACCTAACATTTAGATATCCATCCATTTCTAGCTAAATAGGAAAACCGACTATGTTTGCCACAATACAACCCATCACAAGCCTGAGAGCGACTGCTTCAACCAGTGTCTCAAACGACGTTCAAACGTCTGAATCCCTTTTATACTAAGCTCCTTTTTTTAGGTTTATCGGCGGCCACAAGGCCGCCAACTCCAATGAATCAGCGGGCCTTGATGTTCTTCCAAAAGACCAACAAGTTAACCCAAACATGCCTGGAACCAGCAGCGTGCATTCCGACTGTACTCCCGCAAGTCTCACCACTAGATGAGATGATACTTTCTGTCCAACTATATAAGAACAGTCAGTAAATCGGACTACGCAACATGGAAACGTTAGAGTAGTTTTCTTAAATGTTTGGTCTCTTTACAACAAAATGCACCACCTACGTTCTCTACTGTTTCTCTCCTGTCTTGACATTGTACTTGTCACCGAGAGTTTGGAAAACGAACACACTTCTGATACCCACTTTTACATCCCAAACTTCAGAAGCATTGGTAGTAGTCGCATATCCCGCTGTGGTGACGGTCGCCGCATATATGTGGACAATAGACACAATGTAACTTCTGTGTGCGACCCACTTCGAAATGGTATTGATGACTCCGTTGGGATTAACAAACAAATAAAGTGCAGGACCATCCTTAGTGGTTGTGTGCGCAACCCACCACACTGTCGTAAATAGAACGGAGATAACCTCGTTGAAGTCCTCTTATATGCTTCTAAGCAGTGTGCAACTCAGTAAATTACTGGTGGTTTCAATATGCATGAGATGTGCTGGTATTCACCATGGTCCCCATTAAAAAATCTGCATTTTATCTCAACAATCCATGAATTTCATTGGATGCAACAAATTTCATCTCCAACCAGAGGTAAGAATGGCTAGACCTAATCTTTACGAAACATATACATCTTAGAACTAAATTCATCCTCTGCTATCCTTCTTGGGAGTGACAACACGATACCAGAGATTTGCCAACAAGGAGTCCCCAACAACCACGACGAATCCTACAAGATTATAACTTTTCGGGACTATCACAATAAGAACTGCAATCAAACTGCGATCACTAGACTAGGATACCTATTTCCTTTCCCCTGAACTTCGACATGCAGCTGAAATGGTATACAAAAATGTAACCATGTGTCCAGATATCTTCTCCCAGATGCGTCAAAGGCGCACTTCCCTTAAGATGAATCACAGCACTATCCCGTCGTTCATAACACGAAAGCTGGAGAAGCTACGATATAGACTTAAGAAGACTAACAATTTTGGTGTGTTAATTCAGAAAAACCAAATAATGTCATTCTTAGAAACAAATCGGTCCTCAAAACTTCTCAGAGATGAGACTAATGTCTTAGCCTCTGCAACAAACCAAAAGAAATGACCAGATTGTTCCAGTTCAGACGCAACTTCAAAGCATAACTCGCCACCTTCTATTATAATGCCTGACAACAGCTTTCCCCAAATCCGCTTCATATGTGTGAAGTTTTCAATGAATACCGCTCATCATTCTTTAAAGAGCTCTGCCCATTACCCATGGTAAACATCCCCGCTAAAACGGCGGATTACATCAGTACTGTTTAATCTGAGCAATCGAACATAAGAACTGATAACCTCAATGCGATTGAGCTTTTATCCTGGCCCGGATGGAATACCGTCTGCTGTGCTCCAATTCCGAGGCCTTGATGTCCCCATACAGCTTCAAAATATTTTTACGATATCCATGAGGCCTGGGGTTGTTCAAGACGTGTGGAAATATGCGTTGGTTGCACCAAGATATAAGAGTGGCCTACGTCAAATACACACGAGCTATCGACCCATCAGCCATACCTGCATTCTGTGTAGAACAATGGAAAGGGCAATAAAAGTCAAAAGCATCGAATTCCTATGGTCCCAGAATCTGATCAGCACTTCCCAGCACGGATTTCTGAGAACACGGTCATGTATTACCGGTCAAGCACAATTTCTAAACTTTGTTACTCGTTCCATTAGCCGTGGATCATCACATTTTTTGATATGCGTAGAGCGTTTGATCGGATACCACATGGGAAGCTTCTATCGAATGTATATTCCTTCGGTATAACTGGCAACTTACATCCTTGGGTATCATCGTACCTTAACGGTCGGCATCAGGCAGTCGAGATACTATGCAATACTTCCACAACTATACAAGTCACAAGTGGCATGATCCAAGGGTGGTCTAGGGCCTCTTTTGTTTGTAATGTACATTAACAACATCTTCGATGTCATCAAACACAGCTAACCATATTTATTCGCCGGTGACATCAAAATTGTTCATAAGTTCAATTCGGACAATATCATCAAAGCCCTAGTGAGCGGATCTGTAAACGAATCTGCACGAGTTGAAAATTTGGTGCAGCAACCGGAATATCGAACTTTAATCCCAGAAGTGCAACTGCTTATGCTATCTGTGTGGACAGATGGGAGTATGTCTCATGGTTTATCAGATTGTGAATGAGCACCAATTCGTAGTTGCCAAGAAGGCATCACAAAAATGATACTTAGTACAGAGTAATGTAGTGAGAGAGTAACTGACGCATTGCGACATGTTTAAGATCACCCTTAGATGAGGGAATCCCAAAAAATAAGGCAGGTGCTATCGTAATATTTCGGTTTTAAACTAACAACAGTAACCGCTGAAAAGGGGGGGGGACTATTTCAGGCAGATATCAGCTACACGAGGCAAGATCTGAGTCTCGGATCGCTGCACATATTATGCCTATGGACTATTGGTAAAAGTGATTTGTCTACGTAAACAGGGTTGACGATTCAGCGGCAGACCCAGACCCACTTGCAGTGGATTTATCGATAGGCTTTATGTTTAACAAAACACGTGTAGTCATCAAATGCCAAAAGCTGGAGATAGGAAATGTTCTGATTTCTATAACCATCCCACATTGCAGCGCCGACGAACAGACAGAATGGGTTTGAAGTAAACAATTAATAGCATTACAAGTCAAGCTAAGAATAACCAGTATGTTTTTCCCCACTGTTGGCTTTGTGTGGATATGCACGTGATTTCCTCATTTATCCCCGCTTTGTACACTATTCAACAAGATAGAGACTATCCTTGTAGAGAATAAGAGAGAGCAGTGGTGCAGAGGGAAACTTACCCAGGATGGCCTGTCGGCGCTTTTTGCGCTCGCACTGGTTCTGGATAGATCGGCGTCTCTTCTCCAAACGCGCTGGCACATTTGTCGACTTCGACGAACCTGGGTGCAAGGTGGTCGCCTGTGTTCGTTCGCGCATCTCCGACCAGGATTGGTACAAATCACAGATCCAGGTAGAGAATTCATTGGCTCCGCCAGGTGAGTCAACCAGGAGTTTCTTGACAAACTGACACTGGGCCCATTTGGCTCGAGCCCAACGACGCCGCTCCTCGCCAGAGCTATTTGTGGTCGGACGGCAAATCGGCGAGCCCAACCGTGCTGTGTTCGCTTCGTACACACGATTCACCAGCTTGTTGCCTAGATTCAGCATCAAATGCAGCAATTCGGGCTCCCAATTGTCCAGTGTCAGTGAACGGATCTACCAATTAAGTCATAGAGAGGGGGTGGCAAACATGAGACGCTGAAGTCAAGAGGAGCATGGCAAATCCATTAAACGGCACCTATATTCTATCTAAATAAAGTGAAAAAGTTTTGTGGAAGTGTCCAAAGTAGAGAGGAAACGACAGTAACATAGTAATTTGCAATAAAACAAAACCGCTTTGGTACCCGACAATTAAGCTCGTCCGTGGCCCAGTGTACCTTATAAATATAGTTCCTAAATGAAAGCGTGCTCATATGCAACTAAGGTCAGATAATATTTCGAATTTTAGTGTTCTGTACCTTAAGTCGCATACTTGGTCGTAGAGAACGATAGGATTTTGTATGCTACCCGAAAAAGGGAAATGCAGCCACTTGGTCCAGGATAAAGTAATCGCAGTGGGCTAGTGAAGTTGTTGCGCTGTGAAGAGACTGCACCTGGTGTCAGTAAATGAGCCAGGTTACAGTGCGTAATATGTGGACAAACCACCACTTTATAGCCAAGGTTACTTTGTAGCAATTTCCAATGGCAAGAAGGTCTACTTCAAGTGATGGATTTACCGGCTAATTGGACTGCTAGTCCCGAAGTAGATTGTTCTGTGGCATCCCACCGACAGAAATAGGCCTACAAAGCATACAGTGCGTGCAGACCAGAGTACATCGAATTATAACATTCCTAAGAGCCGTAAATGGGGGTTACACCACCTAGCATAGTTATGAATCTCAGAAAATTGAATAGCAAACTTTGACGCATGGTAAGCAACATACTGAATGTACCGTTTGCAAGTGGTGGACATTTTAACCTCCACCGAAAAGTAGATCGATGGAAGCCGCATGATGAACAGTGTGGTAGCTAGTATACCACCGCAACCAGAGAGAACTCCCTAACATGAAAAAGGAAAGCCACCCAGATCGTAGTATACGTTAACAGCAACCCAAAGATGTATTGCCAAACAGACAGTCATATAACCAGAGGCGCGAAACATAAATAAAATATGCTTTGTATACGTTTGAGGGGTGAATGTTCAACTACGGTTGCAACCGATGAGGAAAACACGAAGTGAGAAAGCTAACACTCGTGGATCGTGACACAATGAGAAGAATTGCTTTTGAAGAGAAGAATCAATAGCCGCTTTTTGTAGGGCAACACAGCCCAATATTGAAAGCAGACTCCTTATACGAGGTAATATGCACCCAGTGACACTAAAATGGTTTACTGAAGATCTGGTTACACTTCTTGCTACACACAGTGGACGAATTGAAGCAAGCGAATGCAGCTGATCATAGTAAGTAGACTGTTTGATATGCTTTGGATAGCACCATTTCTCTTAAAAAGCCCGGGTATTGACATGAGCGATTGCAACGGTGAGATAACTTGGCTGCAATGGATGAGTCGAATCACGGCGACAGCTGGACAGGTAATCCGGTAGTGGGTTCCGGAAGAAAGCAGTGATATTTTGTTGGGTCTGAGTTGAATGTGCCTCGAACCGTCCGGAGGTGATCTGTTCTCACACAGGAATTAGGAAGCAACTAACCGAGTGTTAATTCCTCCTAAAAATAGCACATGCAGTTAAGAACAAAGCCAAGTAAGCCGAAACAGTGGCGTTTGTAATGACAACATCAAAAAGTGCAGATGAAGCTCGCAGGTGGCGTAAGCCTTCTCTTGACCATTGACTGGTTGGTCATAATCCGGAAGAACTCAGATGACTACTGCTCCCTTTTTGCATAGACAAAAAAATAGAGATGATATCCGCCCATCCCCAGTTAGCCCGGAACAGATGAGCTCCACAGAAACTGCCACTTAAATGGTTTGAGACATCGTCCGACAGGAGACAGTAGTGGAATCAAAGACACCTCCTGTATTCGGTCTCTGTTCCGACCCGAAGAACTAACTTACCCGTTATTCCCAATCGGCTTACGTTTACTCTCTACCCAGTTTTTCCCGCTAATATTGATTGTTGTTAGCAGGATGAATGAAACCATGGCAAGTGGATCCAAGGTACTTCGGTGCTAAGACCATCATAGATCTACTGAACTTAACTAGATTAGGTTAACTTGGCGTCGGTAACTCCAGCACCGCATTAGAGAGTCCAGGCTTGTTGGGAAGAGACGCTGTACACTTCATTACCCTATAAACTATACGGTAATTCGAGTCGCTTTATAAAAAGCCTGGCACAGTTACCAGTTTTCGCGGTGAACACCGGTAATGTCGAGAAGCACCATCGTCAAAATAGCAGTCGGTTGGTGCAGCTATTCGTCCGTGCCTCTTGAATCACCCAAACAATATTACCAGACTACTTTAATTGTGACCAGTGAATGGAATGGTTCCGAGTGCCATGTAAAAGGATGACAATGTTGACTGCGGAAGTGCTGGCTTTTGAAAGTTGCTTCCTACTGTCATGCACACTTCTGATGCAATCGTCTGAGGTAGGAAACGAGCAGGTAAAGAGCAGACTATCAAATGTGCAGGGAAAAACCATGATTAGTTTGGGAAACTGAACATACTATCCCATAAAACTGCACTATTGCGTCACAGATCCGGGGGAAATACTCACTTCGGTTAACTTGATCAAGTTCAGTAGGTATGGGTGCAGAGGAGCAATAAAGATGCGGGTTCCACTGAGGCATGTGCTACGGACGGCTTTTCAAACGGCTCCATTAAATTGTTAATTGAGTTATTAGAGCAAGAAGGCGCACATCTCCTTGGCATCCAAGACCGTATCCAACAGTTGAATGGAAGAACTTAAGAGGAATAGTTTCACTGATTGGCACCACTGATTATGCATGAAGTGGAGAGTAGGCTCGTGTCCGACAGGCATGTCACAAACTCCCTTGTGTGAGGTGGCTACTGTCCAGTTTGGTATGAACTCAACAAGGTTGCCTGTGACTTACTTTGGTTGTAAATGATTCATCTGATACAGTCTGATTATAAGCATTAATCATATCGAGATCAAACGGGACGAGTGTGCACGCCTTAGGCGTGAAACAGTGGAACCCAGTAGCCATACTACCAAGGTAAGTAAGCTACCAAATGGCATAGCAGTACGATTTGGGGGAGCTGTAAAAGCTCTTGAGTCCAGTTCAGTCGAACAACTATGAACAGAGCACTGAGATGTGGCAGATTCAAACAGCATGAGATACGTCTCAGTGAAAAGCATAAGAAAAAAGGGAATAAAAAGAAAAAGTTAAAGGACAAGGGGCAATTACGTAACCCTACCAAATACTTTCGTCAACCGATATCGAATGGCAATGGCTTCATCCCGACGACTACCTTCCAATAACGAGGCTAGCCATGCTACAAATCCTGGGACATACAGAGCGTGAGTGACGCTTCTCAAGGCGATCGGGAGTAGTCGTGCGGTGCAGTGAGGTAGAAACCGCTGAGCGACAAGGGCACATAAGTGCGGATAACCAAAATTCGATTCACCACTTAGCCGCGTGGGGCACAGTACACAACAGTCGAATTTTTAGCACCGACCAAAGCGCTGTATCCAAAGCGAGGACGTTACAACTTACATGTTACTGGTTTGTAAACAAAAGATTGTGCGGCATTATTTTGTCAAGAGATATCGACGTTGCTGTCCCCGCATTTCCTCCCGTGACGCAAATGCATAGTCAATACTTTGTGGAGTTTATGTAAAGAATGGATCAAATGCTTGCGTATAGCGGCTGGTGGCGATCGACAGGCTGTGAAAGAAAGGATGGTCTTTTGTGGTAAAGGAGAACTGTAATCACAGATCGTCTCGCTTAGAATGATAAACCGGTTAGACAAGAAAGTCGTGAAGAATATTTCGCTTTCCCATAGCGACACCAACCTCTAACGATCTAAAAATTTTCAGGCCTTTCCGGATCCTCAAACGTCGGTGAATGCGATCTCGAAACTATGAATAGTGCAACATTGCGATAAACATTGGTGGTCGCAAACAATCAGCACAGAGAGAGTTAGAACAAAAAGGTGACAGTAGGATTGTTGGTTGGTGAACCAAGCAACAGGTTACTGAGCAGCATCATGTGCCTATCCCCAGGAAGTTGCGAGAACAGATTTAGGTGATGTAAAAACAATTCTACAGTTTAAGAGTCCATGATTAATTTTGTTATTCAGAATCGTGACAACGCAGTTCAGGTTTCCGAAGTAGGGACATCAACAGATATAATATGGAACCCACACTAAAGGCACTGCAGCTGCTGCGTTCATCGCGACCACCTGGTTGAACTACAGATACAGCGGAACATAACTAACCGAAGGAAATTTAATAATGAGTAGACGGAATTGAGTATGATTTGATTTGGTTACTCGAAATTAGATTCCAAGCCGAATAGGTAAGCTACCAATCTGGAAAAGCACTAGACGCGCGTTTCGCCCCATTGGGATTCGTCAGCCGTGCGCATCCGTCGGTCTCTTACCTGGGATCGAACCCATGACCGCTAGAGCCTAACGCCAAGTAGCCAGCAGCTTATGACACTGAGTCATGAGGGACAACAGCCGAGCATTAGGAATTGACACCTAACTACGATATAGCCCGACCCATCCTCCACTGCCGTGCAGAGGACAGTGGTTGGCCGTCACGGTCAGGTCTTCCCTTACCAGCGCCGTGAATCCACACAGCAATTTTGAATACCGGTAGGACTTAGATTTTGAGTACTAATATAGGATGGGTCGGGCTATATCGCAGTTAGGTTTCAATTCGTAATGATCGGCTGTCGTCCCCCAATGGCTCAGCAGCAAAGCTGTTGGCTAGTTGGCGTTAGCCTCTAGTGGTCATGGGTTAGAGCCCCAGTAGGGGACAGATGGATGTGCACGCTGACGGTCCCAAATACGGCGAAACGCGTGTCTGGCGCTCTTCCGAATTGGTAGCTTACCTATGCGGCTTGGAACCTAACTGCGATGAACCAAATCGAATGAAATTTATCGAATGGAAGGCACCTCACATGTCCGGGACGAGCACAAGTATGACTAGTCGGAACGAGGGCTGGCTTGCCGAGCAACCTCCTCGTGGTGAC